GGAAATTGACGGTTACGTTGGATGTGTTTGCATGCACATATCCTCACAACTTAAAGGATGTCATCATCGTTCAAGAAATTGAGGTGTCGTCCATTATAGGATAATCACAGCAGCATCTTCATGCTAAACGCTGCAGAAATTATCCATAGCTTACTCAAAGGCTTAGCCACAAATTTGCTGATTGAAAATTTTCAGGAAGCGAATTATGGAATCCAGACCACATAAAAAATTCTAACGCCCCTAATGTTATATAACGGATGCCCGAAAACGATTACCAGCTTCCGTACTGCTTTTATGGATCCGACGAAGGCGCCTGAGATAGTGAATCTCGCTGTATGTTGGAGACTCAAACTTAAATTCGTGATCCCTTCTTGCTTTACTCAAATGATAAGACACTTTCACGATGTGTGGATAGGTTACGACAGGGTAGATTACCATCATAGCCTACTTACTGCCCAAATCACTATTATGCGCCATCCTGCAGTGGGGTATATGCTGGGCCTCGCTCGAATCCAGGCTAAAGAAAGATTGTCATAAAAATTGAATTTTGACTAAACTAATCCTAAGTGAGCCGTGATATCAGGTCTATTATGGTTAAATACACACATTATGACTAAAAATCTGATTGTTCCTAATTTGACTTTTTAGACTTTCATTACCCTAATGTTTGAATGGAACAATGTCAAATATTTATCTATTATTAGCATGGCGTCAGAATGGGACCTTAATCAAAAGATAAGCTATAACTTTTGAGAAACTGTCATAGTTGTTTTAATAAGCTAAGTCTAATCATTTACCGGCCGTTGTTGCGTCTCGTTTTCGATTGCTCGCTTTGTTGGGCATGCCTTTTCGCCAGCGGGTATTAATAACATTAATTCATTGTTCACTCCCAGTAAAGCACCCTTTTCCACATGTAAAAATTTTTTTAAGTTTGATTATTAAAAAAACCGATTGCGGACACTCATATATACAGTAGTTATGCCAGATACAGCCCTGAGTTATTCTAGAAAACTGTTCTTATTTTCTCTGTGCAGCGTTTGCAAAGCTATCTGGCTGCTAAAATACGACCATACATACGAAATTTATTAAGTTATAATTATAACCATAATTTTAGTGAAAGTAAAACTTCAGTAAATGGCTATTATAGCCGAACGACAAAAACTTCCCTAGTAGAAAATCATACCGGA